GAGAGAGAGAGAGAGAGAGAGAGAGAGAGAGAGAGAGAGAGAGAGAGAGAGTGTGTGTGTGTGTGTGTGTGTGTGTGTTAAAACTCTACATATGACACTTTTTATCGCACTAAAATTCTCTTGCTAAACGAACTCCCCCCACCCCCCTCCAATCCCCGGCGTGTTTGTTTTTTTTTTGGTTTTGTTTTGTTTTTTTGTTTTTTACAAAAAAATTAAGTACTGTAGATAATGACGTGAAGGCGATAAGCTAGATCTGAAGTTACCACAATAATACTAGATCTAGTACTTTAAAAAAACCGACAACCCCCCCCCCAACCAACACAGAAGCAAACCAAAATAACCCAAACGAAAGAGTGCGAAAGTAATTCGTATCAAGAGGCTGACTCGATGGCTGACAGACAATCTGATAGTGACATGAGTTACTTTAATAGAGGGGCGGAGCAGGTCACTGACATCAAGGAATTCTTTGACTTGTGTTTGTCGGTTTGAGGGAGGAAGCGAGTGAGGTGGGTGTTGGGGGGTGCAAAAATCGAGATGAGTACATTTCCAGGGTACAGGGACAAACCTTGTTAGTTATTTTTGTTCTTCATGTTATTGTTGTTATGTTGTTACTATTGTTGATGATGCTGCTGTTGATTTTGTTTTTGCTCAAGTCGCTATTTTGGGAAATATCCACTCCTGTTGACACCACGAGTATGTACGTTTAAAAAACATCCGCCCGCTCTCCGAAATCGACTGTTTCCTCAGATGATACCTAGCTGGAAGGAATACTCTCTAAGGGTGAAGAGATCAGTTTGTTGCCCTCACAAGAAACATGAACCTCAAACGTCCTTGAGGTGGTAAAGTTCGTAGCCAACTGCTGTCAGAAAAGCTCTTAGTATTTGAGTAAGACGCATTAACTCAGAGGTTTGCGGGTACATACGATTGTTAAAGGCATGCGAACGACACGCTAATGTCCTACTCTCGATGTTATCCTTTCCGATGTTTTAAAGGACTTTGCATTGTGGATTCTTACCTAGAGAGACAATTCTGCCGTGTCATTTTGCCATCCCTTCCCCTCTCCCACTTTTTTTTCTTCCTTTCAACTACATCGGTCTCGCCTTCTGTCCAGCCATCCTTTACATAATGTAAAAAAATAAGCAGAAAAAGCTCAGGGAAACGTAAAGAGAAGCTCAGAATCCTTTTTATTTTATTGAGAAAGAAATCCAGTCCTTCCAAAGGAAATAATTTTTTTTCAATTAAAACCTCTACAAAGAAATGTAATGCTACCATTATAAAACAAACAAAAGAACAACAAAACAACCAAGCACTTTCCGGACATTAATATTAAAATCAACAGTGTCACATCCATCAAAATATCAGTCATCAACACGCATAGAATACTTTTCAGTGTAACTGATGTACAGTAAATTAAAAACTCTAATATTATCATTCGTGTCACTCCAGGACCCAACCCCGGTCCCGGGGCATACGCTGTGTCTGTGGGAGCAGTGAAAGAGAGAGCACCCGCGTACAGCATCAAGAGGAAGACCAAGCCCACATACCCCAGCAGCGTCTACGGCAATTGTAAGGAGCCTTTTCATATTATATGTTTAGATTGAGTTAATTCTTCGAATGTTCAGTTTTGTATCAAGTTTTGTCCGGGCTGTTTCACTATTCAAAATAATTTCGCAAGGCGGTTTTGAATATGCTAAACCACCATGAAGCATTTTTTAAAGGATATATTTATTTACACTTTCCATTTGTCTTTCTCTTATTTTTATCATAACCTCTTCACCAAGTGCCTTAAGGGTTATGACCTCAGGCCGAGAGAGTATCTAATTTTAGTTATTATTATTATTATTATTATTATTATTATTATTATTATTGTTATTATTATTATTATTATTATTATTATTATTATTATTATTATTATTATTATCATGGGGGCGGGGGGGGGGGGTGTTTTACCGCGCTCGCAACTGCATAAGGTCATGTGAGCGCACGGGACACATTAAACATTTTCAGTTGGTTGGGAATTTTGAATTTTGCCTGGATGTCGACCAAAGCCTACTCTCACCAATTTTGAACCACCAAGGGATCTTTAGCCTTCCCAACGTGCATCGGGACATCCGAAATTTTTTGCCCTTGTCCGAGAAGGCTAGGTGTAGATCTTTCCTACCAGAAGATCAGGGTTGTAGCTGAAAACAGATGTAAGAAGAATCCAGGGAGTAGCAGTAGACAGGCTGCAGAAAGAGTCAGGAACCTAGAGGAGGGGGCAAAGGAGATGAAGGGGTGGGGTGGGGGCAGAAAGTGGAGACGAAAGCAGACGACAGAACATTGCTAGAGAGCGGGAAAGGAGGTGAAAGGAAACAAAATCGGTCGCTATCCAGATTCGAACCAGGGACCTATTGAATGCTAACACTTTATCCTCTAGGTCACGAAAGCCACCCCCCCCCCCCAAGAAAATTTTAAGGGGCACACAAACAAACAAACAAATGAGCAAACTAACTAACAAGCAAATATATAATGTTATTAGTAATTGTGTGTGGTTAATCAGTTTCTTAATAAGAAGTATGAACGCAGTACTATTTGACAGCATTGGCATGGTCCACTCTGTGATTTTTTAAATAAGCGTTTTACGGCACTTGCAACACGAATAAGTCGTACAAGTGCAGAAAATTAGAGGTGCTACAAAAGTCATAAACACAACAACAACAACAAAAAAGAAAAGATGAGAACGATAGGGAAAAAGGAGCAAACCACACCAAAGCATCCGTCAGCTACCCATTGTTGTGGTCAAATAAAGCTGACCCCTGTACTTTGTGTTAAAGTGTACATTATATATGTGAACCCATTGCATGTCTATCTGGAAAGATTGGCATTTCCCTAATTTCGATTTTGGTTCAAAATTCTTACGAACTCGTCGTATTCACAGCCTTGATTTAAACGCACAAATAGCGACTATTATTAGTCTGTATTAGAAGGGTTAACAAAAAGCTTAATTACGATCTCCCAATCTGTTTAATGAAATAAGACCTCCAACATCTGCGGTCCTCAATTACAAAGCTCCTCTCATCAGCACATCGATTTTCAAATGTAAATACCAGATATGCTAAAACTGGCGAGTGCCTAGTCTACATAATATGAACCTACAGCTGCTTGAGCTGTCTTCGGTAAGACTCCGAGTTTGCTGGGGTAATCACATATCGAAGTAAACAAGTTAAAGGTAAAGATGTCTTTATTATTATACAAGGCTGATCAACTGAGAGAGGAAACGACTGATGGGAACTTCTGTTCACAGCTTACAGCTGTAGACTTGAAGTTAAAACTCTCTCTCTCTCATCTCTTTTTCTATCTCTCCCATTCTCCCCTTGTCTGTCTAATTGTCTGTCCATCGTCTATTTGTCTCAGTCTCAGTCTCCGCGTCTCCCCTCCTCCTTCCTCCATCTCGCTTTCTCTAACTCCCTCTCGCTCTATCTGTGTCTCTCGCCGCCCACACACACAAGTGTGTGCGTGTGTGTGTGTGCATACGTGATTTTGTATGTGTGTGTGTGTATGTGTGTGTTTGTGTGTGTGTGTGTGTGTGTGTGTGTGTGTGTGTTTGTGTGTGTGTTTATCTGTGGATAACTTCCTTCAATAGTATATTCCTCAATTTATGTAATTGTCTGATGTGCTGTACCAACTTATGATCTTGCCGAGTCATATGTTGTAGTGTGTGGATGTATAGGTCAAAGGCCTTTAATTTAGAATCAATAAAATCAACTAAAATCTGAAAAATTCCTCTCATAAACACAC